TACTACTTTCAAGAAATAAAACCTAACGCAACTGATGTTTGTGAAATAATGGACCTCAACAAGTTTTTGAAATATAAGCTTCTTGCTGGAATTAATTTTCAAATAAGGTATACTTCTTTCAACTTAAGGTGCATTTTCAAATAGTCCCATTATTTTATTAAGTTCCATATGAATAACTACCTTTCTAAAACACACACTCAACTTTCTTCCAAATAAAGAATTCCTTACAAGATTTTTAAAGCATACACATTTCAAAGGAGATTTCCTATATTATAAAATCCTAAAATTTATGACTTCTTTTCGAAACACATATACACTTCATTAATAAAATAATGAACTTTAGATAAAGACTTTGAACACTTTTATAGACTTTAAGCACCCGATTAAGCAGAATATCGACACTTCTTTCCTCGAACCTAGCCTAAGCGTAAGCAGCTACCTCGGGTAGATTTTGAGGGGTGCCTAATACCTTTTCCTTAGAATAACTAGAACCCTTACCCAAATCTCACCGGTTAGTAGAGAATTAGGATGATAATCTTACAAACCCATAGGTACCCTAATATACCTTAAAATATTAGGTGGTGACTCTTTTTTTCAATTTCAAATGAACTATTTATTGTATTTTGTTTTGACTAGTGCAAAATAGGGTACAATAACTGGTAGTTGTTGTTGTTGGCAAAATTTGCTAAGAGAAGAAACTGATCCCACTACCCTCCAAAATCTATGACAGTCTCGCATCGCAATATATCCTCCAAAATTTGAATGGTCCGCTCGGACTGCCCATCCGTCTGAGGGTGAAATGTGGTTCTCAACTAAACTTGCTTGCCCAACTCACGCTGAACCGTTCTCCAGAAATGCAAAGTAAACTGATTGCCACAATCAGAGATAATAGACACAGGCACACCATGCAAGCGAAAAATCTTTCGGATGTAGATCTTAGCCAACTGCTTTAAAGTGTAGGAAGTCATGCTAGGAAATGTCACGCCCGACCTCGGGGAGCGCGACCAGTGCTCAACCGAGATACTCCAGCCGAGCAAGCCAATACAATACCTTCTACCCAGCTCACCCATGTATAACGAGAATATATATTTTCATTAATTAGACAATAAGGAGATCATGTATACAACACCAATCCATTACTATTAGCTACTTAATTTATAAGTCCCCTAAATATTACATTACACATCCATAGTTTAGAAGTGGAACATGTGATACAATTACAACATCTCTAGTTTGACCTTCCCAATACCAACGTACAACCCACACCATGTCTACGGAGCCTCTAACGGGTACAAAATAGCACTAGGATAATGCCGGCAACAAGGCCTCGGGAATAACTCAAAACTCATTACATGAGAAGCAAACGATATATGACCCCGATATGAAGTGGGGCTCACCAAGTCAGCTGAGAGGAGGATGTACTGCTAACTCTGATCGATGTCGCCTACTATGGAACCACCTGCATCCATTAAAAGATGCAGCGCCCCCAAAAAAGGGGACATGAGTACATGTGGATTAGCACTCATATGTAAGGCATACAGAACAACATATGGAAATGCGGTAACCTAAATAAGAGGCAAATAAATTATGCCAAGAAACTACAAAATGACCCAAAGCATCACATATCAAGTCTTACTATACTTACATCATTCTGAACTTCTTTTAGGATCAAGCTTGCCCTATGAACTATGCGTGGAGTACAAAATATAATGTAAAAGTATCAACATGTACAAACAAGGAGAATGGAAGTGGCAATTGTTCGTGTTGCCTATGCGTCTCACCAGACCGTCCATAGGGTTCACATATTATATTATACACCTATCTATTTCATAAACTGTCCATAGGGTTCACATATTATATTATACACCTATGCGTTTCATAGACCGTCCATAGGGTTTCATTCATATTATACACCTATGTGTTTCATAGACCTTCCATAGGATTCATTCATGTTATACACCTATGCGTTTCATAGACCGTCCATAGGATTCACATATTATACCATCATGCACACGACCCTATTTACACGCATGCGATATGATTAACATTACCGTTAAGGTCGTAAGTTCCCAGATCATTGGAATACTTCATGTTCATGCTCATTTTGGAGAAACACAGCTTATTACATTAACACATGCATGGCAAATCACTAAGTAGATTTCAATGGTGCATGGGCCCAATTTCTTTTCTTAAGGTTCATCATCATTTAGTATAGGACGTCTATTTTCCACCTCATTATATACCTCCTTGCCATCTTAAGGTCATTACCTAAGATTATGATTCTCGATGACTTAACATCAAAGTCATTTACATTCATTATTTCAGAAGCATATAACTATAGTTGAAACCATTGGAACATACCATGCCTCATGATTCTCATTTTGGCAAGTGGCCATAGTTCATGTTCATACTATCACTTACTTGTACTAGCCATGGGTGATCATAGGACATTAATGACATTATTGTATAAAGGAGTCAAAACTCATCTCATAATCTTTCACACATTCTTTCATTTCATTGGCACTATTGGCCACAAATGTAATTCTCGTTCTTGGCACGATGGCCACATTTCTACATCTCATACTCGCTTCTTTCACTTTCAGACATCATCACGGATCATCAACAACAAAGCATTTCTTTCAAGACTTTAAGTCCACATGTGAGAAAATAAGAATGTTAAGCACATTGAGATTTCTTACACAATTTGGCATAATAGCTTTCTTTTGGATCATGACTTGAAGTTATAACATTTAGATATGCAACCCATGCTTCGAGCACATTTTCAAATAGCACATAACATAACAAGAACATTTGGAATACATATTGAGCATATATCTTTTGGACACAAGGTTCATTCGAAATAATCAATTTATAATGAGCAACACGGGACTTACAAGGATATTGTGGGGTTCAATTCTAAGAGAATACTTTAGCCACCATACCTCGATTTGAGCTTTCCTTAATTCACTATACCGTTTCGTAAATTCTAGCAACTTTGATCTATTTAGAGATATGGCCAAATTGAACACAAATTAGAGAGGAGTTCATGTTTCCAGCTCATTTGAGCATTTTATCAAACACTAGGTGGCCATTATTATTAATAGCTACTCCTATGGAGGATTTTCTTCACCCCACAATCCAAAGTCTACCCAATTGAGTTCAACTACCTTCCCACAGCTCATGAATGTACATACATGCATAAACAACAACCCTCATCCTCAAAACCTTCCTCCCCATTACCTATTCCCAAAGGAAATTTCGAAATTGAGGGTTAGGGCTAGAATTGTACCTCTTGGTTGAAGACCTTGTGAGATTTCCTTGTTGAATTTCAAAGCTTGGACAAGGATTGATGAACAATGCACTTGGGGCTTCCTCCTCTCTCTCTCTCTCTCTCTCTCTCTCTAGAACACTCTCATATCTCTCTAAAAATATCAGGTTTTTGCTCCAAAACAAGCTTCAAGGGCTTTTAATCAAATTGGGGTCGGGTTATAAAATCAAAAAATGGACACTCCGATCTCAACTCTGCGGTCGCAGAATGCACCGTAGATCATGTCTGCGGTCCGCAAACTGGACAGCAAAATCGTCCTCCAAATCTGGGCTGGTCTGGACAAGTTTACGACAGATCTGTGGTCCGCAGACCACTTATGCGGCCGCAAAGTTGACCGCAGAATCACTCTCCAAAGTTCTTCATGCCAAGTCTGCGACGAATGTGCGGACCGCGAAACAACTATGCGATCGCATAATGGACCGCAGAATAATTAAAAATTCAACAAATCCTCTACTCAACTCCGCGATGATTATGCGGCGCGCGAAATGGTTCTGCAGTCGCGAAACAAACCGCATAATCGCCTTCTTCAGCCAAAAATTTCCATCAACTCCTCAGTGCATTCTTCAATCCAAAAGGTTCGTACCGTGGCGAGCAAACTCGCTGCGAAGAATTTCTACAATCCTCAAACACGTAAGCCTACCTCAGCAGCACAAAACCTTAAGTTCCTTGGCAAACTTTTACGGGGCCTTACTGGAATAAAATGCGCACACTTCGTCAGTCTCTCCAAAATGACCCAAACGGTATCAAATCTCATCAATGTTCGTGGAAAACCTACCACAAAGTCTATAGTGATGAACTCCCATATTCACTCATGTATCTCAATCATCTAAAGCAAACCACTAGGTCTCTGATGCTCATACATGACCTGCTGATAATTCAAACACCGAACAAGATATCCAACAATGTCTTTCTTTATTCTCCGACACCAATAATGCCGCTTCATATCATGATACATCTTAGTATCACCCAGATGAATAGAAAACCATGAACTATGAGCCTCCTGAAGAGTCAACTCTCTCAACCCATTCATATTAGGAACACAAATTCGGCCCTGAAGCCGCAACGCACCATCATTACCAATAATCACTTCCTTTGCACCACCTTTCTACACCATATCCTTAAGGACAAACAAATGGGGATCGTCATACTGATGAGCTTTAATGCGCTCAAACAAGGATGGCTGAGATACAACACAAGCAAGAACCCTGCTTGGCTACGAAATATCCAATCTCACAATTCAGTTAGCCAAATCCTAAACATCGATAGCCAAAGGCCTCTCCCTAGCTGGAATAAATACTAAATCCCCATACTATCTGTCATCTTACTCAAGGCGTCGGCCACCACATTAGCCTTACCAGATGATAAAAAATAGTGATATCATAGTCCTTCAATAGCTCCAACCATCTCTGCTGCCGCAAGTTCAATTCCCTTTTCTTGAATAGATGCTTAAGATTCAGATGATCTGTATACACATCACAAGACATGCAATATAAGTAATTCCTCCAAATCTTTAGCGTGTGTACAATATATGCTAACTCCAAATCATGCACTAGATAGTTCTTCTCATGGGACTTTAACAGGCACGACGCATAGGAAATCACCCTACTATCCTGCATCAACACACACCCAATGCCAACCCATGAAGAATCACAAAAACTATATATGATCCCAATCATGAAGGCAAAACCAACATTGGAGTCGTAGTCAAAGTTGTCTTGAGCTTTTGAAAGATCTCCTCACACACATCCGTCCTCTTGAATGGAGGGCTCTTCACAGTAGTAGATGTAAATGCCTCTACGAAGCGATGGTAGTAACTAACCAAACCGAAAAAGCTCCTGATCTCTGCAGTGGTAGAAGGTCTGGGCGAAATTTGCACTGCCTCAATCTTCTTCGAGTCCACCTTGATCCTATCACAAGATAACATATGACCGAAGAATGTCATTGAGTCCAACCAAAACTCGCACTTCGAGAACTTAGCATACAACTTCTTCTCCCTCAAAGTCTGGAGCACGATCCTCAAATGTTGCTCATGCTCCTCCCTACTACGGGAATCCATCAATATATCATCAATGAACACAATAACAAAATAATCCAAATAAGGCTGGAACACACTGTTCATAAAATGCATGAAGGTTGTTGGGGCATTAGTCAAACCAAAATACATCATTAAAAATTCACAATGCCCAAAACGTGTCTGGAAAGCAGTCTTATGTATGTCCGGAGCCCTAATCTTCAACTGGTGATACCCAGATCTCAAGTCAATCTTTGAGAACACCCTAGTCCTCTTAAGTTGATCAAACAAATCATCAATGCACGATAGTGGATACTTGTTCTTCATGGTAACCTTGTTCAATTGTTGATAGTCAATACACATTCTCATTGACCCATCCTTATTCATAACAAACAACACCGGCGCACCCTAAGGTAAAACACTAGGCCTAATGAACCCCTTATCCAACAACTTTGCAACTATTCCTTCAACTCCTATGGATCCATGCAATATGGCAGAATAGAGATAAGACGCGTGCCCCATGCTAAATAAATGTTGAAATCAATATCTGTATCGGGTGGAATACCCGATAGGTCTGCTAAACACATATTCAAAAACTCCCTCACTGCTAGAACTAACTCAACAGTAAGAGTATCAACACTAACATCTCAGACAAAGGCTAAATACGCCAAACATTTCTTCTCAACTATCCATCAAGCCTTCAAAAATAGGATCACTCTACTAGGAGTAAAATCTAGAGACCCCTTCCACTCCAACCTCAGCAACCCTAGCATCGCCAACATTACAGTCTTAGCGTGATAATCTAGAATAACATGGTATGGACATAACCAATCCATACCCAATATCACATCAAAATCCACCACCTCTAATAATAGAAAGTCCACCTTAGTATCAAAACCATAGACAGTGACCACACAAGACCGATAAACTCGATCCACCAAAAGAGAATCACCAATAGGTGTAGACACATGCACGGGAGCATCAAGAGAACCACGAGGCATATACAGACAAGAAGCAAAGTATAATGACATATATGAATAAGTGGAATCAGGATCAAACATTACTGAAACATCCTTGTGACACACACAAACAATACATGTAATCACTTTATCAAAAGTAACGACATCGGTCCTCTCTATGAAAGCATAGAATCTGGCCTAACCTCCACTAGATTGAGATCCCCCTCTAGGACGACCACGCAGAAGATGATCTCCACCCCCAAGCTGGTTGAGCGGGTGTTGTAGAAACTGGTGCAGGAATCATAGTTTGACCTCTCTACTACATTGGACATCTACGAAGACGAGGGAAATACTTCCTGACATGCCCCAACTCTCCACACTCATAGCAACCTCTAACTGGAAATGAATGCGGGGCCTGAGTCATACCCCATGAACTAGAATAGCCACTAAAAGAACCTGGTACTGATGGACACTGAATAGATGGAGCGCGATGAGAACTTTGTGCTAGAAGTGTACTAAATGAAGACTACACAGAATCTCCTCAACTAGGTAGTGGTGAATAATAAGCTAGCCTGCTAGAATGGCCTCCCCCAAATCAACAACGGCCTCCAGATAAGACAGCAATGAAACTCCCTGAACGTCGGGACCTCTTGTCCCTACCCTGCATCATCTCTTTTGTCCCAACGTGAATCCGCCCAATACGATGTGTTATCTCCAACTCCTGGTGATAAGAAGTCTCGATCTCTACCTCTCTAGTCATAGCAATGCAAATACCATGGTGAAGACCATCAATTAATCTCTTAACTTTCTCGTCCTTAGTGGGAATCAAAATAATAGCATGATGGGACAGCTCTGTGAACCTCATCTCATACTCGGTAACTGACATTAGACCCTGCTGAAGGTACTCAAACTGCCTCCTCAACTCCTCTCTCCTGGTGGTGGGCACAAAATGCTCCAAAAAGTCACTGGAGAACTGATCCCAGGTAAGAGGAGACGATCCTCCTGGTCTACCCAGCTCATAAACCTACCACCGCCTCTTGGTCGGACCCTATATTTGGAAGGAGGTAAAATCAACTCCATTGGACTCAACTAGTCCCAAATTAAGTAGAATGTCATGACAACGATCCAGGAACCCCTGGGCATCCTCTGAAGGAGTACCACAGAAGTGAGGATGATGAAACATCATGAACTTATCTAACCTCTCCAGCTCATCAGCTGACCGTATGATCCTATCCTTGGGATACATAGCAATAGTAGGTTGAACTCCCTTAACGTAACACTACAAGAGTCTGACAACCATGGGCCACCTACTCTGGGGTACGGGTAGCTGGAGTCTGTCCTCTGCCCCCTGCCTAAGAAGTAGCTGGTATTGTAGGAAATGTCCCAACCTGAGCCAAAAGCTCAAACAACCAAACCATATGGACCAATGTATCCTGAACGCCTGGTGAAAAAAATTAGGCCTTGGAGAACCCAAGTTGGTACCTCCGGCTCATCATAGTACTGAACCTGCTCCTCAATAGGAGCTACTGGTGGCTCCACAGCAGTTGTATGACCAAGGTCTCAAGTTGTGCGGCATGCTCCGCCACTACCTGTACCTCGACCCAGTCCCTCGCGGCCCAAGCCTGGGGTATCGGCGCCTACTCAACTGCACTCGACAATCATGTCCTCACCATCTCTAAGAGAATAGAAGAGTAAAGATTCAGACTTAGGGATAAACAAATTCGCACGACAGAGAATGAAAGAAAGAGAATTTTTCCTAACTACCCTGCAGCCTCTCGAAGATAATTGCAGACGTCGTCATACTAATCTGCAAAACTCTACTACACTTTCTCATGACTAGTAAAACCAAAGCAACCTAGTGCTCTAATACCAATTTGTCACGAACGTAAATCCCAGCGAAGCCGTGATGGCACCTAACACTACTTGTTAGGCAAGCCAATATTCAATATATAGAAATATAATTCAATAACAGTAAGAAATAGTCTTAAAAATGGAGTAAGATAAATAATAGTGGCCAAACAGCGACACAACTAGAATACCATCCTAGAACCTGGTGTCAATGAGTACATGAGCTTTATATAATAAGTAATTAAACAATGGTCCAAATAACGATACAATATTGTCTGGTGTACATAAATAGTAATAACAAACGTAAGGAATAGGACTCCAAGGCCTGCGAAAGGAACATCATTGCTACCTTGAAATCTCCAAAAAGTACTGGTATGGCTCTCTAACAGTCAATTCTATCAGCAGCACCTGGATCTGTACATAAAGTGCAGAGTATAGTATGAGTACAATCGACCCCATGTACTCTGCAAGTAACAAGACTAACCTCATATTGAAGATAGTGATGATATTTGCAAAGTCCGCTCCTTATTTTCAATAGCTAACAATAATAGTAACAACAAAATGATAACAACAAAAAGGAAAGCAGCTCAATAATAGCAAGTTCAACTTAATCACATTAACATGGAAATAGGCATGCTTTCCGATCAAATCAGTTAAGACATCAATTTCAAGATATAAAGTGTCAATTAGCATGAGGAAGATATGAGTTTATGCCTGCATGACAAGTATCAATGCCAAAATCAATGATTCATATTTAAATCATCAAGTAAGTATAATCTCAGCACTGTACGGGTTCATGACAAAAATACCCTCAGTAAGAACATACCAACTGCCTGCACTCATAGGACCCAACGTAACACGGGTTATCACCTGACTCCGAAGGGGCGGATCCTAGCCCAAGCACTGATCGGATCAAAAGTCAACGATCATCATAACTTAGCCTAAATGGCATGGATCATACATCACCTCAATACCACTCATCCCAATAGGGGGCATGGCGTATGCGTCACCTCACTATCAAAATTATCATGGCTCTATGGCCTCAGTTCCTTCACTAATCTGCTCAAATCTTAATATGGCAACATCTCATAGTATCAAAAATCAATATACCGCACAAATTATATCAATGTGCCACAAATCCACTCAAACCCGTGTCACACAAGTAAAGACACCAACGACATATGAGATAGCATGTAAGAAGTATATAAAGATTGTGATATAAAACGCGAAAATAATATCATAACTAAAGAATATGACTACAATCAAGGCAAATAGCTCAACATATCAAAAATAACCCTATCACGTGTCAAACAAATAAGCACATATCCTAGACATGATTCCCAACATCAATAATAGCTCAAGTAGTCATACAAATTGCAAAAGGTCAAACAAAGTTCACCCAGGCTCGCTTACCGAAACCCAAACAAAATGTAAGACCCTGTAAAATTTTAGCCAAGGAATTTAAAGTTTTGCGGTGTCGAGGAAGGCTAATGTGTTCAAAGGTAGTAGTTCCATATGGCGGCGAGCTTTGGGTTGAAGAATGCATTGAGGAGTTGGTGGAAACGTTTGCAAAAGGAGGCAATTCTGCGGTCAGTTTTGCGACCGCAGATCCATTCTGCGGGCCGCATACACATTGCAGAGTTAGGCAGAAAAATAGTTGGAATTTGAAGGTCATTTTGCGGTCCACTATGCGATCGCATTTCTTTTTCGCGATCCGCATGTCCGTCACAGATTTAACATGAAACATTTCTGAGGGTGATTCTGCGGTCTATTTTGTGGCTGCATAATTGGTCTATGGACCGCAGACCTGTTGCAGACTTGACCAGGCCAGGCCAATTTTTGGGACCATTTTTGCGGTCCATTTTGTGGGCCGCATACCTGTTCTACAGTCCACTCTGCGACCGCAGAGTTGAGTTTAGAGGGTCTTTTTTTCTATTTTTATAACCCAACCCCATTTTGATTAAAAGCCTTTGGAGCTCATTTTTAAGGCAAAAATCAGATGTTTTAGAGAGAAGAGAGTATCTTAGAGAGAGAGGGAGAAGACTTAGCAATTCTACTCATCCATTATTGCCCCAATCTTCAAGAATCAAGGAAGCCACCCACTAGACCATCACCTATCCGGGTAAGTTCTTGTCCTACATCATCCATACAAGTTTGTTTTGGGTCTAAGTAGGTTGTGGAGTTGGAGACAGGCCATGCATGTGCCAATAGGAGGTAGTATGTGGGGTTGTTGAACTATTTTGGGTAGTTTCTTGTTGAAATTAGTTGAGGGAGGAAGGGATTACCATTGTAGAGCTTTGTAGTCGATTTTGCATAGTAGGTGTTTGACAAAATTCCCAAGAGAGTTATATCATGAGAATCCTTCCAATTAATATTTGATTTTTCCCTATCTTCCTATAGATTAAGGTTGGTAGAAGTATTGGGACGTTTTAGTAATCTAAAGAAATCTCAAGAAAGGTATGTCGGTTAAACTTCTTTTCTAAAATTGGAATCCATGAGCTCCTCGGAAGTTCTAAAAATGATTTGTTCCAACTCTTGTTTTAACTATTCCAAATTGATTCTGAAAATAGATTTGCTTAAAAGTTTATGTACTCAAGTAATGTTCAAATTTCCCGTATCATATTATGTTCCCCCTTAGTGGGAAAATGTTCAAATATGGTTCTTTTAACTAATGCATATGATTTGAACCCATGTTTCAATCGTAAATCACCATGTTATGCTTTGTAAGTATTTCCATTGTGTTTTGAGTTCTTACATACTCATGAGCTGAAATTGTGTATTTCCCTTTTGGGAAAAAGTATTTCAAGAATAAATGGTATGTCACTCATTTATGATTTTTACTTGTGCTTCGATTGCCAATCATTTTGCTCCGTTTCTTTGGAAAGTAATCCATTGTGTTTAAAGCCTTCATTACAAATGAACTTAAAGTTATGATTTTCTGAATATTCTATATGTTGATGTTTAAGATAATGGTCCTTGAAAGTAAAGAAGTGTAAGTGTGGAATACGAAATACGGCCATCGTTCCATGAATGAAGAACTCTATGAATGGACAAGAGAGCCAATGAAATAATAATGTTGTGAGTGGTTGAAAGTGATAATGAAGTTATACATGGTATGAATGCATTTGTATTTCTATTTCCTTTGTATACAAAAAATATTTTTTTGGGAGTATCATTATCGAGCCGAGGAAGGGTGGGTTGTGACGGCCCATACCTGAAACTACACGTGCCAGTGTAGGAATGGATTGACATTA